CATCAAGGTGTTAAATAACGAAGGAGTACCAGAAGCCATTGAGAAGCTTTATGGTGTCACAGGGCGTTCTACAAGATGGTGGGGTCCAGTGTGGGTAACTATTGAGCTCATGGGCATAAAGGACAAACACAAAGTATCCTTGGCTGACATTGAGGACGAATGCATATTAGGATTGGACTATCTACTACTGAGGAAGTTTGTAATTGATTTTGATAAAATGACGTTTGGGAACAACAAAGGCCAAGTTCCAGTAACTGTTAAAAGAGAGGTTGAACTAATTAGGTGTCATCAAGCTGAAGTCAAGCCGACTGAAAGAGTTGATGATGATGAAGTGGAACCAAATATAGATATAAAAGCAGAACAGGAGAAAGACCAAGATTTGAAGCCAATAATTGATTTCCTAAATACAAGTGTTTCGTGCCCTGCTTGGGAGAAGGTTTCTAGGCTAAGCCCTGTGACAAAGCACTATTGGGTGCAATGGGACCAGTAAAGCTTGCACATGGTATTCTTGTATGGAGATGGGAACCTACCGATGGGAAAGTGATGACTTGGTAAACAGTTATACCGAGGAAGTTACGGGAAGTTGTGCTGCGTCAATCCCATGATAATTTAACAGGAGGACATCTCGGAATTAGGAAGACATTGAGTCATCTACGACAAAGATTTTACTGGATAGGTATGAGGCGAGATGTGGAAGAATGAAAGAATGTGGACATGCAGTACATGTAGTGCTAAAAGGGGACCCAAGCGTAAAGGATGCCCACCTTATGAAGAGTTGACTGAAAATGTGTCAGAGTTTGTGAAAGTGTTATCGAAAAGGATGGATGATATTCCCCATCAAGTGCGTTCAAACTTGAAAATCTGCTGATTCGATGAAGTTAACTTATGATAAGAGATCTACTGAAGTCAGCTTTGTACCTGGAGACAAAGTATGGTTGTATAATCCCAGGAAGACCAAAGGGAAGTCTCCTAAGTTGTCTTCTCCATGGGAAGGCCCATATGACATAGTGGATCGTCTCTCATTTGTGACTTTCCGGGTAAAATGTGGTCGGCGAGGTAAGCCAAAAGTGGTGCATGCCAATAGGCTTTGGCGTTATCACGGTCAAGGACATTTCAGTTGGGGTGAAGCTCTTGATGAAGTTACTACCACTGATGTGACTGTTACCGACGGTAGGACATTTCCTGATGAAGCAGATGAACCCCACGTGAAGCAGGAGCCAACAAGACGGAGACCAGTACGGAAGAAGATACGTCCCGTAAAATTAAGAGACTTTGTTGAATTGTAATTTTGTGATTGTAGTTCTGTACATTTAATTAAGTTATTGTTAATTGTTATTGGTTTATTGTATGTGGTTATTGTTCGGGACGAACAATACTAAGGAGGGTAGTGTTGCGTCAGCGAGGTCACGTGACTAGTGTCACGCCACGTTTCTAGAACTATCGTGTTCCTTCAGGAGTGCTCTAGCACTTGCTAGATTGGGGGTGGCCTGGTATATATAAGATGGTCACAGCGTGACGAACAATGTGTGTAGGTAGTGAGTAATTGATCTGCAGTCAGAGAGTATTGTTGAAGTTCGTTATAGCGTTTGTTTTAGCGCGAATGCTGAAATCAAGTGTATCGTAAAGTTATATTCAGAAAGAATAAACCAGTTTTATTAAGTAAGGACTTGTGTCGCTAAAGTTTCGTCGGAACGTAGTTAGGGAAAGTTAATTAACAAACGGAGACGTAACAATATAAACAATAAATTAATTCATCATCTTACTTGGATTTGGCATTAATTTTACCTCAAAAGAACCCCTCAATGAGTTGATGTTGATGATTAAGCACAAAGCTACATAAAAGGCTATCTAACGGTATAAGTCCGCAGACATACCGCTGTACGACTGGGTGGCCCCTTAGTGAGAGAATATCTTACATCAATAGTTTTCCTATTAAATTACGAGTTAACATTGTTCAGATATAGTTAGTTATAGGCCTTAGTCAATATAGTGTTTGTTTCCCAGATATTTCCTGTATCATTAATTACATTATAAGATATCATGTTAGGCCTACTGTATCGCTAAAAAATAAAAGTTATTGATGTAACATTTTGAATTTGGTTAAATATGACACTTATTTATGCATGTTAAAATACAGAGTAAGGTTTTTTCTTCTAGGTAGTCTTATCTTTTATATTCAAATTCTTTTTGTTATAACTTTAATAACTATCTTCAGAAGTTTTGTCTATCTGCAGACTAAATTATAATAAATTGTTAAGTACTTATTAAAGCATAAAAGGCATAATATTATGTGAAAATAGAGCCTCTATTCTAGCATTAAAACTTGCGGTAAATAGTCAGAGGTATTTCTGAAATTGTTATCTTTATTTTCCACAAACTAATATTCGCTAGTACGTTTCTCGTATAGATCTGTTTATTTTCCTTTGTTACAAATTCAACTCAAGCGATTTGCCCTTTTTAGTACAATGGGTACAGCCCTATACACGTGCCTACCGAAACCATCTTTATTTATAAACACAATGTCACATGATAATTTTCGGAACTCTGATTTGCTGAAGTATTTCGTAAGGACACGTCATTCTGACTATATAACGGGAAGTGTTCCATTTCTTTACTGTGTAATTCGGATGTGAAACGGTAAGGATAGAGGTAAAGATTGTTTGGGCATCAGCTATCCAGCTGAGCTCTAGCTTGCAGCTGGGCGTAAAGCCAAAGCAAGTAGTGGTTTGTTATAAAAATTGTTATCTTCTACTAGTCTATAGTATCAATTTATTTTTTTAATTAATGTTAAACAAACGAAATTCTAAACGCAACAATTTTGATATTGAGTGCCATTATTGAATCGTACCTGCTGGTCGTTGCTTATGCTTGGGGACTGGCTTGTCACTTTCTGTAAATTTTGCAGCGTTTGACTGGCCACAAAGGCCTAATTACGGCTTTGCCGTTTTTCATTAATTCGAGTCCATTTCAGTTTTGCTATCTAGACAGGGTGTCTATAATTTTATCATGCCAGAATCGGTAACTCCGGTAAAACAGGGTGTTTATCTGAATGAATCTGTCGCTGTTAATCATGTTACATCAACTTCAAGAGAACACGAATCGAGTTTTAACCATAATCGAGACCACGCAACTATGCCGAATTTGCTTCCAGTTCCAGGAACAGAAAACACGTCAGGTAACCTAAGCTTATGAAAATTACCTTAAACTTAAATACCCAGTCGAACTTGCATAATCCATGAACGTAAATTCCATTAGGCATCCATTGCATAAAACATAATTATTTTCAGAAAGTTAGATGATAAATAAATATTAATAATGAGTTAGTACTAGTACTACTACTAATACTATAGCACCAATACTACTAATACTAGACTACCACTAGTTCTAATGGCACTAGCAGTAAGTAAGACTATTAAATTAGTAGCAATAGTAAATTGTTACACAGTGAAAAAGAAAAACTTAAAAAGATATTAGCAAAGTATTTCATCAAAAGATAAATTGATAGAAATTGGTTGAATCATTGTTTCATTTGTTCAAGCGAGACGTTTTTTCATTCTACAAATCACAAATTATACTACTAGTACTCATCATTATCACAAGTAATTAATAATCTTGTTCAGAAGTAGTAACTTTTAGTTTATTTAGTTTTTATAAATTTGTGTAGTTTAACTCTTGCACTCTGATCAGTTATACTTGAAACAGAATATTTTTTTTTAACTTTTAAGCAATTTTTGTGAACTTTTTTTTTTCACTTATCTTATTAAAAACAAAAAGCCTTGTCATTAATTGTTGGTGTTATTTTTACATCTTTGGCTTTTACAGTACAATTTTTTTTTACCATCAAAATCCTAATATTTGCAAGTTATAGTGTATCACTGTATACTTCTCCAGTACATTTTTCTAGTCCCATTAATATTGTGATTTATAATTTCTTTGTATTGAGAGTTATTATTTCATGTTTATATATACACACAATCCATTTTTTTTTTTTTATCTTTTTACTCTGAAACATTCACTGTGTTCTCATCTGTCATCATGAACTTGACATATTTTCCATAGTTTAATTAGAGTATTTTAACATTAGTATATTGTTTGGAAAAACATTATTGCTCTTAAATTGATAACTCAAGAATGTGGATTATATTTAAATTAGATTATTAGCTTTAACTAAAAAATTTATAACTTTACATCTTATATAAATTGTGATATTTTTAATACAAAAAAAATTTAGTTTCAACTTTGTTTAAAAGTGAAGTTAGGTTGTAAGTTTACCATTTTGTTTAAGAATATAAGACCATTCAACACTTATAACTTAGTGTTTTTTACAGTTGTATATTTTGCACTGAGTAATCTCAATTTCCAAATGTTATAAATAGGGAAACATTATTATGCTTTTATCCTACTTAATGGTGTATTAACTAGATGAAATTTTACAAATGTTTACAAATTCCTTTACTTCATTTAGTATTGTGTAATTTCCTAATTAATATTCAGTACAGAATATCTGATTTGTGTTGGAATCAGTTGTATCTTATTAATCAAATAATAGCATCCAAATAAAACTTCATACCACAGAACCTGAAGATTTATTTCTTTACAACTGAATGTGTATATTTTGGTCTGAGTTCTATCTCGTAGAAATTGTAATTAAAACTAAGTGTAACTAAACTTTTGCAATATAAATTATTTTGGGAGTTATTTCTGTAAATTAAATATACACAAACAATCCACAGAAAACATTGTAAACTTCAAATCTTTGTCAAACTGTTGTTATTTGAGGGAACTGAGAAATTGACCAAACCTTCTCTGCTTATAACCTCCATCGAAGTATCATCAGAAGAAAAAGCGTTTTTGATGTTAATTTTGCTCCATAATGTATTGCACTCCTCTTAAGTCATCATTAACCCTTTGTTCTCCTGAAGAAGAATAGTCAACTATTCGTAAGCGCTTGAGTTTTGGGTCTTATTTTAAGTCTATTAACATTGGGGATACTTGTAACATGGATTTTTAAGGGACAAGAGATTAGTAATAGAGCATGAAATTAACCAACCGTTTTATGTTTTTTTTCACTTTTGTTAGTAAAGTTATTTTTCATTATTTCCATAGTATTAGTTTCATTAACAGTTGGTTAAAATGCTTAATTATATTTCATTTATTTATTACGCACTTTTATTTTTACAGGATTATTTTGCATTGTTAACATAGTTTATGGATCTAGGAGTAAACTATGTATCTCATTGTGACTGAACCTTGGGAGATATAATTGATATTATGATAATATCCATAGCAGCTAAGGTACCCACGCAACTGATGAACTAATGCATTCCAGTCAAACTTTTTTTAAATTGCACACACCTAGTTAGACAAAAGCTTGTCCAAACTTTGTATATTTCTTACTTGTAATAAAGTTTATTTTATTATCCATTCAAGCCTGGGGGAATATAGTGATATAAAGTTTGTTTTTTGGCCATATTATCCACATCAGCACTGCTACATGGATATTGAGGGTGCTTTTACGAAACTATCTCTAAAATGTAAATAAAGAGTATAGATCACGTTAACGCAGTTTTATCAGATATTGCAGTTTACATGGGTATGTATTAAAACTATTACTTTCGTGTAGGGGTAACGAAGTTTTTGTTTTTTGGGCATTTGACGTTGATTATACAGATGTAAAAGCACAATATATCTCTTGTACATGTGTATGAAATATTACATGATGGCATGATATGTTCAACGTTTATAATATACGTGCACGTTCTGACCTTGGAATAACCGTTTATAATGATACAGCAACAAAGCTGCGATTTATTAATAGCTTTAAAAAGTACTTGCATTATTTATCTGGCATGGTTCCAGCGAAATAAAACTCGTCATAACTGATATACAAAGTACGTGTTTTATAATTTTTTTTATATTACCAATTTCGCCTGGGTATCTGTGCTAACGAAAGCTAAAAAACCAAAGCATAGGTTTGAAAGATAACTCCTCAAAGGAACTAACATTAATGCATAAACGTTGGTAGTTTTGTTTACAATATAGAAATAGACAAGTACAGCATAACTATCTTTCTAGGCATGGTACAAGAAACATGTACATGTTTTTTAAGAATAATACAGAGGAAATGAACACTTGAAAAAAATCGTAGGTGATAGCGAAGTAACACCTTGTTGCGTCTGTCGCATATCATTGACATTTGTAAGCTTTAAATTTGCTCACGAAATTAAATAATTTAATAATTTCTTTTAAAGTATGAAAGTGCTCTCGCATATATATACTATTAGTTTTTTTATTATTATTCAGAATAAATTTTGCATTTGTTCAATACCGTGGCTTAAAGGAGCAATGTGTTATTACAAATACCGGAGTAAAAGGACAGGACTAGTCACGAGTGATACATGTAGCTACATAGCTATATATTGCACAACACGTAAATTCCTTTGGTTTATTTTTACTTATTATAACTTTCAACTGACCGAGGGAAATTCCTTCAGGTACTATATCTCCCCTCCCCTATTTTTTAAGCGTATTTCATCAATCTTGTGTAAATCCAGATTTTTAAAAATAGTACTAGAAAAATATGACGAGGAAGTGATCAGCCACATTTATCATCAAGTGAGTGATTTCTGGTGTTGTAATATTTATAGTCGTGTGTAGTTTTCACTCGGACTCAACTTTAACATTTTTATTACGAAAGACTTGCTGAGGTTGGCAAGCTTTCTGTGTAGTTCATGTAACTAGCTTTTTATTATTTGAATTAAAAAAAAAAAAACACCAGCTGAATAGGCACGATTTCTTTTTTCGTTACCAAGATCAGCAGACTTGTGTAACTTCAACAGTAAACTAATATTTAAATATAATTTGAAAAATGAATATGAGCAACATCTATTTATTTAATACTGTTAACTTCTGTAAAAAATAAAAATATGCACGTCATACTAATTTCTAACAGTTTCAGCTGAGATCCTGGTGGTAACGATTAGAAATATAGCTTTATTTCACAGGTGCTATGTTAACTGTGTTTGTATTGAATATGAAAATATCTAATCGGAATAATTTAATGTTCCAAGGATTCAGAACGCTTTCTGAAATACCACCTTTAATATACTATCACGTAATTTTGTTTGTCGGTTCAGCTGTTTTTTATGTTACGCAAGTATATATTTTATCTGAAATCGATGACACATCTGTATTGCCATGGTTGAAACTTGCTTCCTTGTTTGAACAGCGCGTGCATATCTGTGGTGGTAGAAACTTGTTGAAGAAGGGTGATCCAAAACGAAATGTTTGGTCTTGTACTAACAGAGTTCGATGGATACATGAAAAGACCAGTAGTTCTCCAGCTTGTCACTTGTTTTTCGATTATATGCGTTGTTGTGTTTCTTGCGTTGAAAACGGATTATATTAAGCTTTTGCTGTTGTGGGGTTTCTAAACTATACATTCATTTGAATTTCGAATTCGATGACGAGGAACCCACTTTGAGACTAATAATGGCTGGAGACGGCTTGAATGGGTAATGAAGAAAAAC